TTATTATAGAATGTACATAGGAAAAATACATCATTTTTAATGTCTCCAGTGGTAAAAAGGATTTAACTGATCGGATTGCAAAACAGGATCTGTTTAACTTATCAATTACTGCATCAATATGACTTTCCCATGTTAAAAAAATTTCAGTTTTTAATCCCAGAAACGATATATTAGAAATACTTGGAATTTGATTGTTTAAATAACTAACTTGAACATTTAAGTTTTTACTGTTTTTAGTTCTAAACTGTAGAAAATAAGTTTTTTCGTAATTTATTACTAGCTCATTTTTCCTAAACCGTTCATTTATCATGTCAAATAATTTATTTATTCTAATTTTAAATGTCGCAGGATTCTTATCAAAGATAAGGATACTTGTATCATCTGCAAATAATATTGGTTTGGATATGTCAGATATAATTTTTGGTAAGTCATTTACATATTGTAAAAAGAGCGCTGGGCCTAATACAGAGTCTTGAGGCACTCCGCACTGTATTTCTTTCCATTCAGAACAACATTTACTCCCATTTTCATACAAAATTACTCTCTGGTATCTTCCTCTCAAATAGGATCTTATAAATTTCTGAGCAGCTCCTTCAATTCCATAGAAGTCCATTTTTGATAGCAATATATCATGATTTACTCGGTCAAAAGCCTTACTCAGATCACAAAAAATTCCACCCGCTATATATTTGTTGTTTACAGCCCTATAAATATTCTCCATTAGATTATAAGTAGCTAATGTAGTTGAAGAGTTTTTTCTAAAGCCGAATTGCTCCTGCGTTAGCAGGTTATGTGTATTTAAGTGGAAAATCATTCTTTTATATATAACTTTTTCAAAAATTTTAGAAAAGATTGGGAGTAAAGATATAGGTCTATAATTAGACATGTCGGTTTTATCCCCTTTTTTGTGTATGGGTATTATTTCAGAATATTTTAATCGAGCAGGGAATATTCCTGTAGACAATGACTTATTAAATATGTAAGTTAATGGTGATGATATATATGGTGCACTTGCTTTTATTAATTTGGTAGTAATTCCATCATATCCACAAGCTGCTTTGAGTTTTATAGATCTTATTATCTCTTCTATTTCATTGCTGTTAGTTGCTTTTAATACCAATTTCTGAGATGGTTTTGGAAATGAAGTGTATAAATAATCCATGAACTTCTTATCTGTTTCCACAGTATTATTTGTCCATTTCTTCATAGAATTGCTTATATCTAAAAAAAAGTTATTAAACGATCTTACTATATTTTTGTAGTCCTGAGTGATATTACCCTTTATATTTAAACAAGTCACCTTAGTAGAAGCTTGGCTATTTCCAGTCATGTTTTTTATAATTTTCCAGGTTGTTCTTGTTTTATTATTGGAAGTTCTTATGACTTTGTTCAGATATAACTTTTTTGCTGTTGAGATAACTCTACTTAATATCTTGCAATACATTTTATAGTGTTCTTTTAATCTAGAATCATTATTGCTCTTAATTTTTATATAGAGCTCCCTTTTTTTATTACATGATTTTATAATTCCTGGGGTTATCCATGATTTATTAGCATCTATACTTTGTGATTTTGTGATCTGAAAACATGAATTTAGAATCCTAAGGTAAGTATTTAAAAAGTTATTAAACATTGTATCCACATCACTATCTACAAAAATATCATCCCATAATTCATAGCTCAGATTAATTTGGAAGTCTAACAGAGAGGACTCGGTGATGACCCTACGGGTATACCTCTGATATTGCTTCATTATATATGTAATATTGTATATTATAATGATCTGCCCATCGTGATCAGATAATCCATTTTCCCATGGAAGAACACTGAAACTTTTGTTTTTATATTTGTTAATAAAAATATTATCTATTGCTGTGGATGAGTTAGAGCAAATTCTAGTCGGAAATGTAACTGTACTGTTTAGCCCGTATGAAGCTAGTAGCGAATCCAGTTTTTGTTTGTAATTAGTATCCACCAGGTAATTTATATTCACATCCCCACATATTATTATGTAGTAGTAGTAAACTTTGCCACATCAAAAAATCTTACTGTCAAAAGTACGATGTTCCCACATCATAACATAAATTTACTTGGACATCTGATGGGATCCATATTTTGATAGATAGGAGACAACACTTAAGTATACTTGATGTCCAATCATATAGGACAGCAGATTGTGATACTGACCACTACCTGGCGGTGGCAGAGGTTAGGGAGAGACTGGCAGTGCGCAAACAAACTATACAGTCCAGTCTTCTCATCTGCTGTCCAAGAACATAAAAATTAGGATATACAAAACTGTAGTTTGTGGTTCTGTATGGGTGTGAAACTTTGTCTCTGTCATTAAGAGAGGAACATAGACTGAGGGTGTTTGAGAACAGGGTGTTTAGAATATTTAGACCGAAGAGAGATGAAATGACAAAAGGGAGAAATGAGGATCTTCATAACTTGTACTCTTCTCCAAGTATAATTAGAATGATCAAGTCAAGGAGGATGAGGTGGGCAGGTCATGTAACACGAATGGGGGAGACGAGGAATGCAGGTAGGATATTGGTGGGAAAGCCAGAAGGAAAGAGACCACAGGGAAGACCAAGTTGTAGGTGGGTGAACAATAATATAATGGATCTTAAGAGAGATAGGATGGGTTGGTATGGATTGGTTAAATCTGGCTCAGAACAGGGACCAGTGGAGGGCTCTTGTGAACATGGTAATGAACCTTTGGGTTCCATAAAATGCTGGGAAATTCTTGAGTAGCTGCAGAATTGTTGGCTCCTCCAGAAGGGCTCAGCTCCATGAGTAAGTAAGGGACTGATGTAAAGTACAGTAGAAAACTCCAGTGTTGAATATTTGTTGTAACAAAACGGTTCTTACTTTAAAAATGACCCTCATATAATTTTTAGATATTCATATTAAAGGCTTAAAAATAGAAGCAAAATTGTGTCTTGATATACATAGACCTTCGTTTTTGTGAACTGGATGTCTTACCACCTTTTAAGTTAGGGTTATCATGTGTGCTAGAAGGGCCCCAATATTGTGTGATGTGTGAAGTACAATATTTTGTAACCAGTGTATAGAGATGGAGGAGAGAAAGAATAATATACAGTAGTTGCAAGTTTTCCTGGAAGTTATTCTATGGTCCAGAAAGAGACCATTGCGAAAGGCAGGAAATAGGGCTATGTTTCTTGGAGTTGAGGTTCTCATTGCAGTGGTTGTGAACTTTTCTGTCTTGTGGTGTATAACTGTATCTAGTCTGTTGAATCAACTGACTGTATGGCAGCAGATAAAAATTTTCAGGGCTCTGTTTGATTTTGAGCTTCTCTCATCGGTGATGGTGAAGAGATCCGTCTTTTAAGTTATAACAGCATGTATTGTGGTGAAAGTCAATATATAACACAGAATAGTCTGATGAAATACATAGCGTTATATCCCAGAAGGTAATTTGAGGGTCGTTCTTTGTACCTAAGAATTATATCTAAACAAGTAGTGCAGTTTTTTTGGCTTATTTTCCATGTTGAGGTAGGTTGTTTTATATGCATGGTTGTATTTGTTATTTAATGAGTTGTGACAGAATTAGACATTGCAGGATGATTCGTGCTGTATAAAATCCTGTATCCACATTAAAAATTTTGTGCTAAAATTTTGTTTTGAGCAGATTTGATGGTGTAGGTTAATATTGAGAGGTTGGGGCAATAACTGTTGTGGTCACATGATTGCAGTCGTCAGCAAGCACGTGCACTACAGAGGGATCCACTACCTCTTCATCCCCAGCGTCGTCTGTGAATCTCATTACCACCAACTCACATATTTCACATCTGCAGCGCAACAGTGTTACCAACAATAACAACAACGCACCCAAATATGGGACTCTGGTACCAAACCGGATCTTTGTGGGTGGAATCTCAGGCAGTACCACTGAAACCGAACTGGCACAGCTGTTTTCAGGTATGGCTCCGTTCTAAGTTCTGTCATTATTATGTGCTTGCAAAGAGACCTGCTAGCGCAGCAGAATATATTGACTAGATTGACATATTTCTGTCAGACATGTTTCTTGTAAAGTAATCCATGCTTGTCTTGAAGGATTTCTATCCTGTTTACATACAGTCCAGTGTTTTTTTGTTAATGTCCGACATGTGATGCTGAATGAACACTTATTTTCAGGCCAGTATTTATCTGTGTTTGTTCTTTTGGACATTTTCCTGAGTTTCTTCAAAGCACAATATTTTGGGATCTGTTTCCATCATAAGATGTAAGGGAGGAAAGTTCCTGATCTGTTGGGGCCTGTCTGAAAGAGCTAGTCCTGATCACTGTTCCTGGCACTTTCAAAAGGGTTCAGGGGAGTCCCCTTACATCTTATGATGGAAACAGATCATATGTTGGAATGTTGCTTTCTGAAGAAAATCAAAATGATGGATAGTGTCCAAAATGTTAGTCGTATTTAGGGTGGTATCGCACTAGGATGCCAATGGGAGGCCATGGCGCAGCTGCCAGCATCTTGGCCAAACTCAGTGTATTAATTTAGTAGTCATATAAAGGCCATGCCATAGCTCAAGCAGTTAGCCGCTGGCTTCCCAATGCGGTGGCCTGGTTTCTATCCCGGGTCTGGTCAAGTGGGATTTGTGGTGAACAAAGTGGCGCTGGGGCAGGTTTTCTCTAAGTACTTCGGTTTCCCCTGCCAGTCTTCATTCCACCAATTGCTCCACAATCACCCACACCTATCATCTGGGGCTGGTACCATAGGCCAGAAGTGGCCGCAGTACAAGAGACTTAGCCCCACCCCACTAGCAATAAAAAAATAATAGTCATATATTGCACCTAGCATCTGTCTGGCAGCGCTTCCAACTTGGCATCGCTGCCAACAAAGATGCCAAGTGCTAATGCTGCTGGCATCGCTGTTACAAAGGCAAAGGCCAAATCAACATCACACGACAATCTGAAGCCAGTCCACTGACGTCCTGCATGTATATATGCTCGTGTGTATTTTTATTTCCTTCATACATGCCCAATTTTGACACCGAAAGATTTGTAATTGAAATTCAGTCCCAACCGTCTAGCAGCTGGACGCCATGGCATCCTAGTGCGATACCACCCTTGTACACCATCATCACAAACCTTAGCTGTAGCTTGGTATTTAACTATCTTGGCTTGGTCTTCCACAGTTTACTTATATGCATTGTAATGCAACTATTTGATTATTTTAACATTAGTGAAAAGCGGTATAGACATTTTGCTGAAACTCTTACCAGGCCCTTATGCAAGGAAATGTCTGATTGTGTTATGTCTGAGTTCTGCATGACAGTAAGTGGTGCAGTGTATATTCCTGTCACATAGAATATTTGTATTACAGTTCCATCAAAAATGCAACCACTTTAATTTTACTTTTTGCAACTTTTTTTGGCCCCAACTGGCCATCATCAGGTACTCCAATTTGCCAGAACTGTTACCTGCATTGAATATCAGTTATACATTTCATGTGTAACTGCATTGTTCTATATTAATGTTACGGTCACGATCCACCTAACATTAGTCAATTCACCATATGCTGTGATTCACTTTCTATTGCAATTAACTAAAATTTCATTAAAATTTGTAATTATTATTCTTAAATTCTGTACACTTCCTACACCTCTCTAGGGCATCGTCCACTTGTCCAAACAGTATATATTTCAACCGTCCTTGTTTTTGTTTTGGTGGCCTGTTGTTTCAGTGTGCAAGCCCGTTGTTGCTGTTACGTCTGAAAATAAAAGTGGTTGAATTGTTGACAGAACTGTAATACAAATATTTTATGCGAATGTTATAGAAATGCAACAGGATGCTTAAATACAATATTGTACATTCCTGTCTACTATTAATTGCATAGTTATGAGGTCTTTGGTGTGCATGAGCTGTTCCTGTTAGAGTCACAGTGCACAGTCACAACTGAGGCAGTGACTCAGTGTTACAGACTCCAGAACATATGCCAGTAACATCACCTCTTGGTCAGTTGGCACTGGTATCGTCTTGTTAAATATTTAGGTCAGTTTGTTCTGATGAGAACTCGCTGAGGTGAGTATTTGTTTTAGACCATAATGCCAGCTATTGAGCAGGGGTTTTTCTAACTTACTTTCTTTCTTTCTTTCTTTCTTTCTTTCTTTCTTTCTTTTTTTCAGTGTTGCTGACTGTCTTGACTGAGGTTAATGTTTTTTCTTCAGCCACTTCATGCAGTTGGTGGGATAGTGTCTTGTAGTAGGTCATGACTCCAAACTGGCATGAAACTAAAAGCATGATCTTCAGTCCATTCAAGTATCAGTCTGCCCTATACTGTGTGAACTTAAAACATGCACGAGACTGGTACCTGACTGACAGGACCCCAAGTTTTTGGAGACAGTAGTCAAATCCTCCTTTCCCACATAGCAGCCCTCCATGAAATTTTCTAGCACAAGATTTTGGATTCTTGCTGGCAAGATGGGATGGGCATGCAGTGTGTGTGTGTGCGTGCGTGCGTGCGTGTGGAGACAGATACAAGGTCTGACAGTAAAGTTTGTGAATTCACCATTGTGTGCTTGCAATGGTAGCAGTAGACAGAAACCTCAGTATGGCTTGATGATGGCATATCAGCGTTTCACAGCTGTGTTATTGTTGATCTGTGGCAGTATCTTTCTGAGCAGCTTCTATTGTCTGAGTGTGTTTTGTGAGAATGTCTGAGCTTGAATTAGAGCAGCAAACAAACACTAAATTGAAGACAGCAGTCTTCTGGGATGTGGCACTGTGTAGATGTGGTGTTAACCGACGTTTCGGAGGAACATATCGCGTCCATCTTCAGGGTAGAAGGAAAAATAAGAAAATCCGCAAGCAAAGAGACAGTGAGAACAGGTGCAAGCAGGCTGCTGTTCTCACTGTCTCTTTGCTTGTGGATTTTCTTATTTTTCCTTCTACCCTGAAGACGGAGGCGATACATTCCTCTGAAACATTGGTTAACACCACATCTATACGGTGCCACATTCCAGAAAACTGCTTTCTTCATAGTCACTGCCGTGAAAACCTCAAATCTTACAAACACTAAATTTCTTGTTAGACTTCGCTAGATTGGAAGTGAAATCAGACAGATGTAAGTGCAAGTGCTGCAAGTGACTTCTTTCTCTTCCTGAAGATTAATGAAATATTGAAAGGAAGGCATTTTGATGACATTGAGGACATCAGGAGTAATACGACGGCAGCTCTGAAGGCCATTCCACAAAATCAGTTCCAAAATTCTTTAGAATGGTGGACTAGGTACTAGCATCAGTGCATAGCTTCCCAAGAGGAGAACTTTGAAGGGGCCACAGTGATATTGAGCAGTGACATATGTAGCACTTTTGCCGCAATGAGTTCGCAAACTGTATTGTCAGACCATGTATGTTTATGGGATAAGGTTCTGCACATAATCAAGATATGGATGAAATTTTATAGGTTCCTTTGGTGGAACAGCCTAGCATTGAATCTGTGAGAGTGTATGTGTGATGTTTTCAGCATACGGGAATGTGAAAGCAACGAAAGTGATTAGTGACCGGGCTGGAGTGTCGAAGGGCTATGGGTTTGTTACCTTTGAGACAGAAGAAGAAGCAAAGCGCTTGATGCAGGATGTAAGTAGCACGTAGTATTATTGTTAGTGCCCTTTTTGCTCTGAAGAAGTGGTAACAATTTATTAAATATATAGTGACCATTGTGGCCAAGTTTCTGTGGAGTACACTTGTCATATTTTAGTATAGTAATAGAATCGTCTCACTGGTGTTACATATGTTCTGAAGTTCTTAAGTATCATTGAATATTATACACATGAAGCGAAATTTGTGTCCATATCAGCTGGACAGGAAATTGTGTTGCGTTGGTATGGACCCTGAATGGTTCATCATTTTTTGATTACTGGTCCATTAGGAGGAGGTTTGCAGCATCTGATCAGCTCAGTATGCTCAGGCAGTTACTTTGTAGCAAGGCCTCAGTTTGTGTTTCTATTCACAGCCTTTCTTGGTAATTTATGTAAAGAGCTGATAGTATTTCCTAGCCCAAATTGAAAATTTATTTGTTCATAGTGTGTAATTTTTGCAGGCCATCTGTTTACATAAAACACTTAGGTATGTTTCTACTGAGTTCATGTCAGGTCTAATGGAGGTGCTACTTGATGGCTCTATTACAAGAGCTGCTTTCATGGGCTACACATGAAGCAAATAACTGCAGATTGGATGAGTGGATGGTTAGATGAGATGCTGTGACAGATTAAGCTGCTTACTGAGACTGTTCCGCAGTGAAACCAACAGACTTTGCCAGCATGTTGAGGTTATTCTAAGCAAAAAATCTCATATGAACCATGGATCAATTCAGCATCATCATTGTGATATAGACCAAAATGTTTATTCACCTTCGTTATATTGGTAGCGACTAAAATGCCCAATATGATTGCAATGAGCAATCCATCACTGAATTTCTTGTTTGTTATTTACCGACTGGAGGTGGAGAAACGTTGGCATACAGTATTCATACTATCTGATTGACATTTATTGTCTGTTTGACTAAATTTAACATTATACGGACATCACTTTCACATGTACTGCTCAGAATGTCCACCTTGTGCCCGTACACATGGTACAAGACATACCTCCAGTGACTGCATCCACTGCATGCTCCTGAGCAGTTTATTTCTGATGCTAACAGCAGCTTCATTTATTCTTTGCATCAGCTGCTCTCATGTGTGTGGCTTTCCGTTCAAGTATACCCTGGATTTCATGCAGTCCCACACAAAGAAGTCTAATGGAGACTGGTCAGGTGACCGAGGGGGCCATGGCACAGGTCCACCTCTTCCTAACCATCATTCAGCAAGCGGAATGTCCTTGAAGTATGGGGGTAGGTGACACTGCAGAAACTGCTGTGAGATGACCCTTGAAGAAATGTGGCCCAATCAGATAATTGCCTAGTAATCCCCACCACACATTTACAGAGTACCTGTGTTGGTACTACATACTGTTATGTTTCGTGGATTTTGGTGTGCCCAGGTGTGAGAATTTCTTGTGTTATTTATGCAATCACGCATGAATGTAGCTTCATTCGTGAATAAGATGTGAGGTAGAAAATCCAAATTTGCATGAAGCCATTCACAAAATTCCACACGAGGTGCATAATGAGGCAAGAGGTGTTGGACTCTCTGTAGGTGGTGTGGATATGGACCATCAGAATGTAATGTTCACCATACTGGAGTGGGAGAAACACCTGTAATGTGCAAAAGTCTACACATACTTGAGGTTGGGCTTCTCTATACTGCATCACACCTTTATTGAACATGTTCTCTTATTAGCTTGAGGGTAGGTACCAGTCTCCCTCCAACATTCGTCCATATTCGCAAAAGCTGAGTGATGATGTGGATATCGTTGCCAATATTCCTCTATAGCAGCACATGCATTCCCATTTCAAAAGCCATACACAAACACCAAGTTCGCTCATTCTTCGTATGAATAAGTTGCAGGCATTTCCCCTAATAGCGCTCAATACGGTTGACTCACAGGATGAGCCGTCTGTCACAGTAACATCACCAGGTTGATTGAGTTGACTGCTTGCTTCACCACCTCCAGTCAGTAAACAACAAACAAAAAATGCAGTGGCAAATTGCTCAGTGCAATCATAATGGGTGTTTTAGTTGATAACACCATAACTAAGGTAAATAACATTTTGGTCTGTATCGCAATAACAAAGCCGAATTAACCTGTGCTTCATATGAGAATTTTTGCTTAGAATAACCTCCTGAACACACTGGTGGGGTTTGTCAGTTTCAGTGCGGAATGCCATGTACACTTGGTCATCGACTTTCGACCACAAAAATATGAAAAATAAAAGATGATTAAAATGTAAAAGTTTTAAAAATAAATTATATAGATGATAAAAATATTGGAAAGGTTAAAAATACTGTTAATAAATATATGGCTGACATACAACCAGATCAACTTACGACCTGTCAGTCAGAATGAAGTTGGTCGTAAGTCGATGACCAAGTGTATATGTAAGTCATGAGATAGGCCGCACCATAGCTCAAGCAGTTAGTTACTGGCTTCCCATTGCGGCGGCCCGGGTTCGATCCCGGGTCTGGTCAAGTGGGATTTGTGGTGGACAAAGTGATGCTGGGGCAGGTTTTCTCCGAGTACTTCAGTTTCCCCTGCCAATCTTCATTCCACCAGTTGCTCCACAATCACCCTCACCTATCATCTGGGGCTGGTACGATAGGGCAGAAGTGGCTGCAGTACAAGGGACTTCGTCCCACCCCACTAGCAATAAATAAAAAGGCATGAGATGAATGAAATATATGAATAAGAAAAGAAAAATATGCTGATATTGAATTGGTAAGCTTTAAGATCTGTTAGAATGAGGGTATGTTGTGCAGGGTGCATGCAACAGATTTATTTCTGCTCACCTGTCTCTAGTACTGAGTGGAAAATGTGCAGCTTTGCTGGTCCTCCATATTGTTAGAAAAGACAAGTTTGCAGAGCTTCTCACAGATGAGCGAATGATATTAAAATATAAATATTGGTTGTGAAAATGAACCTAACTAGGACGGGGTAGGGGCCCAAGTAATGGCTTTTTTGATCTCGATGTTGAACCTTCATGAGTCATGAAAACAGTTACATTGGGGTTCAGGATTTCATACTGTACTGGATAGCTAAAATGTTGCATTTGACAGATCCTGCTGAAGGATATGTTTAAGGGAAGGTATTATTATGGTACCACCCATATATAAAGTTCCTCGATTTGAAGTTTTCCTTCATCAGTATTTAATTTCAGTGATTGCAAGTTAATCTTAGTTTTGAAGTACCTCCATTTAAGATCTCCCTCACCTTAGTGGTGACATCCAGTACTCTAAAAATAAACTTTGTACAGGGTTTTTGCTGTAATTTGTTGTGAGTGAAAGTTGTGTGAGGCAACGTGACATGCATATCTTGGCTTTTTGAACCTTGGCATCTATTCATTGAGGACATTCTCAGTGGTTATCAGCTGCAATTGTGTGATGACACAAATATTAGTAAAAGGTAAAGCTATCCTTGTAACATGCTGTGGAGGCCCATAGGGGTGTGAGACGAGGCTCTCATGTTTTCTAGACACTCAGCTCACAGATGGTAAGGTTGTCAGCCTTACATACCAGTCGCCCCTTACTCCCAGGTAGATTTTTGGTACTCATTTCTGTTAGAGGCTGAATTGACCCCAGGGCCATAATGCAGCTGGAAGGGTTAGGTCAATTGAAAAATCCAATGACCTCATTGGGAATCAAACCTGCAACATTCCAGCCTGTAGCATAGTGCTTCAACCAACTATACTACCACCTGCAATATTACATCACTGTGTTCTGTCATTTGTTGAGTATAGTGACAGCTTTTGGCTGTCATTGAAACAGAGGGCAGTGCAGACAGTTGTAGGTCTCGAGTGTCAGGCCTGCTGGCCGCTACAGGTTCTGTTGTGATCAGTGGGCTATTTTTATTTTCAGTCTGATTGCATTGTTCTGAAGGAAAGGAAGCTGAATATTGCTCCTGCTATAAAGAAACAGGTGAGTGATGCAGTAACATTCTCACATTTGCATTGATATGTAATAGAAGTGTGGAACAATCTAGCTCATGGCTTGTTTTCATTTCGCTTGTAGCCGTTTAACCGAACATATGAAGTGGCGTCTCCTCCCACCATTCACAGCAACACAATCTTTTATCAGAATGGTGTGCCATACACTTTCCACAATGGAGTGGCATATTTTCCAGCCACACATCCTCAGCATGCCACTGGCAACACCATCACTACAGCAGGTGACCCAGCTGGTGTGTACCAGAGTGAGTATTTATTTATTGTGTGTGCTGTGCTCAGGTGCAGAATGTATTTATATGCAGAATTGATAATCTGATTTTGTTTTTCTCCAGCCACGTTTGGACCCCCACAGGTTGCTTCTGCACATTCTCCAGCCTCTGCTGCTGCTGCTGCTGCTGCTGCTGCGTACCCTGTGATCTACCCCTGCACAGCTCCCCCTGCAGTGTACATGTCTCCTCAGCAGTTCCCATATCAGCCCATACCAGTAAGTCTCTCTTTACATACTCGTTAGGCTTGGAGTGAACCCCCCACACACATACACATGTATGTGGTCACAGCTTTGGTGGAATTCTGTGATTGCCTGCATAATTAGTGTTTACAAAACATTGTACTATTGCGAGTGCCTTTTTGAAGGAAGTGGACTGACATGATGAGTTTTCAAGATCATGAAAGGCAGAGACTTTTATAAATGCTTACACAACGTTTATTGGTGTGTTCCAACATTCCCCAGACATGGATATGTTAGGAGTTTATTTGTTAATTATGTCACAAGCAGTTTCAAACACTGAGCATGTGTTGTTTTGTTGTGGAGTGTGAGTTTCAAGTGAGGCCAAGGATGACAGTTTGAAAGTAGGCTGGGTTTCATTGACAGAGAGATTAAAAAAAGTGCTTGCATGTAGGCAGCATCAACTTTATCCATTGTTTACAAAGATAACATCCATTGCTGTGTTGATGGTTGCTTTGATAACTGCAAGTGGAGATGTAATTGGGATTTGTTGTTGGTGTTTGAACTGTGGAAATTTGTGCAGGATTATTCAACCAGTTATTAGTCTGATTACTTGGAAAGTCCACCCTCCATTTTTGTGAACACAGGCTGCATCCACTATATACAGCATTAATTCTGATCCACTGGTTAACATTTCTGCTTTGCATTTGATGAGGTCCCACCCAGAGATTTGCTAATATGACTGGTTGTTTGTTTATTGTTTTCCGTTGTTATCTAAGATTATTTTGGAAAAGTCAGACTGCTGCTACTGACAGGCAACACATTACAGGAGAACACACAGAACCACAGCAACCAGAAGACACTAAATAAATGTAATTTTTTAGCTCTGATGGCTTGCAGTGGATTTGATACTGTAAATTGTTATTAGTTAGCTAATCAGCTATGCCATTCTGCTCATAAGTAATATAAGTTCACCTGACAAAATAAGTTTAGAGTATGACAGATTTCTGGAAGCTCAGAAGAAGGATTTTGAAATGCCTGAGTAATACCTTTTACATGTTTACATCTGACAGAAAGTTTGTTTATGGGTATGTGAAATTTTTAAATTTCAAGAGAAGAGTGGTTTATCAGCAGCACATCCGAAAAATGTGAAAGAGATACGGAACAAAACTGTGCAGGCTTTGTGACAGCTGGGGTTATGTATGTGGCATGGAAGTTTAGGGAACTTTTTTCTGCAAGAGATCAGGCTTCAGCTGATGAAAGGTGGAACATGTCCTACACAAGTTGTTCATTGCTTCAACTTTTCCAAACATATGTACTTGTGTACACGTGAGAAGAACCCAAATTTTCAATTAAAAATTCTCTTTCTTGTTTGTGTTTGGTTTGGCTGTTGTTAAGTGGGTAGTTGTTCATACCAATAATTGGATTGTCACTTGGCCCTGGTGATTGTTTCTACTGCATGAGCTGTTGCAAATGGCTTGTAGAGTCAAGTCCATCCTGACAACTTTGCAGTTATGGTAGCTGTGGTTATGCTATCCATCTGACCACATGTTGTGTTGTAATCTATATCAGTTACTGATAATTGTGGTGGGAGTTACATAATGCTCAGCAGTTAAGTGCAAGTAACATTTGAGGATATAAGGTTCACATTTTATGTTTCATGTATAAGATGACCTCTTTTTTAGGGGGACTTTCTTAAAGGGCCACCTTGTATGCCAGTAAACGGTTTTGGCACTTTTGGCCATGATGGAGGAGGAGGACATTCGTATAAGGCAATGCTTCTAGAAAAGAACCTTGCTGCATTGCCTGTATATAGGTGAAATATGTTTCTTCATTCATAACCTCACCATTTTTATCAAACAATTCATGATTCCTGTAACTAAAATTTCCCTTAAATTTTAAAATGGTGAAACATGAAAGAAATTAATGGATATATACATATAACTTTTCTCCTTTTTCTTTACTGGTTCTACCGCCCTGTGTGGGTCATGGCCTCTCCATGGTTTCATAACAATAAATTTCTCCAGGATGGGGTTATCAGCCCCACACTCAAACCCCAACCTGGAGGAGCGGCAACTACACTTCATCTGGGGCTTGCCCTTTGACCTGTCTGATGTGGATGGCCCTACCAGGAGCTTACGATTCTACCATTGTAGCGCTCTGGGTCATTGGAGCGCACACCTTCCCTTCACAATAAGGCAGTATTTTTAAGGGGGGTACATATAACTGCGTAATTCATAAATCTTCATAATTATTTTGATTGCAGTTCGTTATCTTTAACAGTTGCTAAAATGTGTCCGTTCTAATAAATGGAGGTGCAGAAAAAAAAGAGTAAATTTAAATTCATGTAGGTGGCTATGTGCTGGACATACAAAGTCCCCTTGCTGTCATGAATACTGTTTCTGTACTAAACTGAGATTCAGCAGATACTGTGCAATTGTGACATACATTTGAAAATTGTCAGATTTGGATCACAAGCATGCAGTTACTCATCCTGTTATCAAATGGCAAAATGCATGCGGATGTGTCCATAAGCAGGATATAGAGCAATCTTTACTTGCAGGAAGAATATATGTTGTGGTTGATTGGTTTCATCTGTAGGTACTGTGAGACCAATCATCTGGAAGACATGATGAAAATCTGTAAAGAGTTCAAGGAAGAGAGTCTTGGAGAAACTGTAGTCACTCAATTGGTCAAGAAATTTCCCACCATGTATGAAACTCCTGAAGGTTCATTATCATGTTCATAGATTGAGCCTGCCACTGGACCCTATCCTGAGCCAGATGGTCTAGACTACAAACTTGCATCCTGTTTCTGTCAGTGAATGTGAAACTTTATGCTGAACTCTTTCAAGTTCACTTTGTTCTAGTTTCTCCACGAAGATAGGTCAAGGCCACATGTGATAGAGGGAGTTATGTATTTCTGAAGTGAATGTTTTCATGGTAGTGTTAATTCCATTAGTGAATTTGGATGGTTTTACTGCTAGGTGGAAATCGTGGCTTGTGTTGTGGAGACCTTCAGTTGTTGCCAGCAAATGGTGCTGGATGCTCTGTGAGCTGATGATATTTGGATGTGAATTAAAGCAATTCATTTTTTCTTTGAGAACCATTGGTGATGTCCTCACAGAGGCAGAGGTTCTTCCTTTCTTTTAGTCCATTTTGCATGTTGTAATTTATAATAGGGCCAAAAAATAGAAAGTGAAATCACAGGAATGACGGTTTGCATCAAGGGACTGCAGGAAGTGAGTGTGCAGCTGGGTCATTCGGAAATTTATTTTCTTAAACATGGCCTCTTGACTTGCACTGGGTTGCATGAGTTTGGAGCGGTTTTTTTTAATACATGTTGTGGTGATAGAACAAGGCTAGTGAATATACCAACCACTGGGGAAGGACCTTTGTTGGAATATTTGTAGTCCAGTGTTTGAATGTGTTGAGAGGTCTGTGTCATAGTAATAAGACTCTACATTTGTTGTCCAGTCGAGTGCTGGCTACGTGACAGATGGAATGACCCAGTATCCGGTCTCATCTCCGCTGCCTTATCTTGTACCGGTACTGGACAGAATGTACTGAAGTGCAAAGGTGGGCTCACTTGTCATGTCATGTTCCTGTTGTTGCTGTTTTATAAACTGAGCCTCAGTGGAGCTGAGCTTGCAAGCTTCTGCTTTACAGAAGAACAGAAATTGAAGTAGCATGGAGATTATTTTGTGAAATGGGGACAGTTTCTTGAGTAGGAACTCTCTAATGATAACTTCATAGCAATATAACTTCTGTGGTGGAGAACAGCAGCTGATAAACTTCCCTCCTCCTTGGAACCTTGAAATCAGTTTGAGACCAAGAAACTGTTGTCTCTACCCTCCCATCTCTCATGCAGCCAAATTGAAACATATAAATTTGAAAACTTTTTTCTTTAGCTCAGACTGCCCTAAAATGGCTGATCTGAACTTGAAAATTATGCCGTTTTTATGTTCAAAATCTCTGGAAGTGTACTCATTCCACATTTCCCAAATAACTGATTTGATATTTTAGCCACTGGGGATGTCGAGAGTTTCTTCTTCTAATGCAATTTATCAGCTGTGTGATTTCCATTAAAACACTTCCTGGATCACTAAAGTAGTTTTCAGTTCTGCGACCTTAGGTGGCTGGTGAGGTTTGAAGATAAAGTTCAGGGCTTCTATTTTGCTAAGTGTGAACTTGCATCAGAATCTATTATTTGTTATATAGTGAACATTATATTGAAGTTCAGCTTCAAAATTATGTGTAGAGTGGCAGTCCAGTCATGCAGTGTGGACCCAAAGTTCAGTTCATTAGTAGCAAATTTGATTAAATGTATCGAGCCAGAAGGTGTGCATGGTAAATGCTGACAACAGAATTAGAGCCATTTTTACATGCCTAAGGAAGGCAAACTCTGTGATCTCAGCATCCAATAAGCATCAAACCTAACATTCTGGTCAGTGGTTGGGTTTCAGTTCCTGGAAGGAGATATCTTGCCATTGTTTCATTATGCTGTCTGGTAAATGTTCCACTGAGGCTCCAGTGCTGGCTGCATGTGTTTTCTTTTCTTTGTGCTAATGATGTATAGAGTACAGTAGGGCACAGGCAGCATGCTGACTCATCATGTTACTTCAGACTAGCACTAATGGCTGGCATTTTCATGTTTTGACGGTTGTTATGCTGCATGTCGTTTGCTGGCAGTCGTGTAACCCAGGTCTCGTCTCATGTGGGCCTGCTTATGAATCTCAAGTGTGAGGAATTTCATGCACTTTTTATTGATGAGGTCTTTTGTATAACAGGATAGTAAGCTAGTGAGATGGGAAGGGTTCTTTAAAGAGTGTGAACTTTAAGAGCTTTGTGACATGTCATCTCTTCACAGGTTGTGATTGGGTTTGTGTCATGGGTAGTTTCATATTGATCACACTGCCATATTACGTGTATTCTGATTGGATGAGTGTCTCTGGAATGGGGATTGTCAGATGGGAATAAAAAGGAACCTACCGTGAGATATGGCCTCACGGCCTGTCAGTTGAGTCTGTAACAGCTTAC